TTTCATTCTAAAAGTTTGTCTTCATTCTGAATTTTTTATGCTGGTACCATTTTGGTCCTGTTGTTGCAGTTGTACTGGTTCAACCTAACAGATCCCGTCCCGACATGTAATGTTTTCATTCTGGAGGGCCGCTCCAAATTTGAATATTACTCGGCCCTTGAAGCGTCGCCTGAACGTGCGGTGGCGCTATTTGGTCTGACCGAATTTGGAAGGCTTTATCGGCCGAAGACCGTCATGCGACCGATTGGGCTCCGAATCCGGAGACATTTCTATTTGACTGATCGTGATATTTTTACGAAAGGGCGCTTCCAAATCCGAGGCTTTCCGACCCAAAGACATCCTGTGGCTCTGATAGATCCCGCAAGATGTACGTCACCGCACAATGCTTCAGAATATATATGGTCGTGAAATGGACATAAACTTGGCAATGTAAGCCAAAACAGTTAATTTAGTGGGTTCATTTAATATATTAGTTATTAAATATTATCATTGAATTTTATATCGATTGAGAAATTTGTGATTTTTAAATTTGATTGAGAGTAAAGATTAGTGAAGAAAGAAAAAAATAATAAAAAAGCAATTTAAACGAGTAAATCTATGCTTTAAAACAGAATGATCAACTTTATGATCTTTATGTTTGCAATGACGGTTTTGTAGAAGATTAATTACAGAATAGGATTAAAAATTATATCAAACTCACGGATAGATAAAAGACGTCTACACATATAAGTCCAATTAACCATACCTGTCCAACAAGTATACACCAAGTCCTAAACTTCCAAAGAAATAATCACCCAATGATATCAGAACTTCTTGCAAGAGTTGGAACCACTTAATCTGACACACTTCAAAATTGTGACTTACATAAACTTAGGTCCAAAGGCCTTATTAGAAATAAACTCTTAGCTACGTTATATATTTTAAAAAAAATTAATGATTAACAATAAACATATAATATTTATATATGTAAGTTGTGTAACTTCTTATTTTGATTTATCTAATATAAAACAAACACTGACTACCTTAAATATTATTGGCAAATATCATTTTGAGATATATTTTTTTATAAACTAACTTTCTTTTTGGAACAATCATTTTGGTAATGCCATTATAAATATTTTTTTATGAATTTTTAGTGTGTCAAATTGGAAGAGCGTAGACGGTAAAGGTTATGGTTTGCTTGCTACTTAGTGGCTTAATAGCTGCTCTGATTTGGTTGAGTGTTCAAGTTTTAAAAGAAGCGGCCGCAACGTACCGTAACGCCAGTTACGTAATCTTGTAGTAATTACCTTTTTGCATTCCGTTACGGCCGCATTTTTTGCATGGATTGTAGATATCCACTAGGTGTATAACCGTACGGCTGCATATAGCGGCGTACACCGTGCCGTACATGGCCGTAAAACGGGGCCTGTTACGTAACGGTTTCGAATTGCTTCTTTCACAAAAAACACAAAAAAAAAAAAAAAAAATATAGAAAATGGGGAAGAGAGATAGAGAGAGAATGAGGGAAGGGTGAGGATACAAGGGATAGAGAGGGAATCATTAAGGACAGAGCACAGAATATCGTATTGTATTTGTTGAAGTTGCAAGACTATGTTATTCTATTCAGTTTTATTATACTCAACACAAATGTTGGTTGTGTGTTTATTATATATTTGTTTGAAAATAATAATAAAATAATAATAATAATAAGTGTGTCATTATCTATTTGGCTTGATTAATATATAATATATTATTATATAATATTTAGACGTTTATTTTATTCTCTTACTTTTGTCGATTGTTTATTCTTATATATAAATAGTTAGTGATTATTTTTGTAAAATATAAGTATTAATTAATTAAAATAATAAAATGTAAAAAACTCAACTTATAGTGATTTAAAAATATGAAATATATTGAATCAAAATTAAAAATTTATAAAAATTGATCAATATTTATTTTAAAACCCAATAAATATGATCATGGAAAAAAAATGTGCGTATCGGTAAGTTTTTTTCAAATTGCGCGAAAAATAAAAAAATTCACGGTTCCGGTTACCACAACCATTACGCTATGGCCTTTACACCCCGCAACCGCAACCGCAACCGAGCCACCGCCACCGTTACGGCGACCGCAACCGCTTTTCAGAACCTTGAGCGTAATAGATGAACTTTTCAGGGGATTTCTCATTCGGTGTCTTGGTTGGAGAATTGGCTATTTTTGGTTCTTCATAGATAGGTCACGGTGTCAGTGGATCCGAATATGTTGGCCTTTGTAGATTTTGTGGATGATTTGATTTCTTAATTTTTGGCCTTTTGTGGGCTTTAGTTTTGTATTTTTTGCATCACCTTGATGCTTTTTAATAATATTTGATTTTATTTATGAAAAAAAAAAGAAGAAGTTCAAAGTTGAGCGGGTTCAATTGAACCCATTAAACAATATGTGGCTCCGCCCCTGACCAAAATGATGATGATGATTATTGCAGTGATAAATGGAACAAGCTAGTAGAGCTACTGGACAATGCTGATAGTCTTAACCATCATCGCATTATACTCTTGAGTATAATGTGACAATTTGATGGAGGTCTAAGAAGTGATCATTAAATCTTAAGGTTCACAGTTCCTGACTAAGCCTAATGGAACTAAGTACTACAAGGAACTAAGTACTACAACCACGGACATGCTGACATGATAATTTTAAAATAATAAGGATACAATACGCTTGGAACATGTTAAATTTTTTATATTTTTATAAATTTTTTATATATCAAATATAATGAAAAAAAAATGCAACATAACACTAATTAAAATTGAAAATTCCATATATTTCATAACTTAAATATCAAGATATCATTCACATAATAATTTTATTGTAAAGAATGCAAAATATTTGTATAATATTTATGATATATTCATTTTATAAATGTTTCAAAACATATTTAGAGTACACAAGTTGTACTCCAGAGAATGAACATCTACGAAGAGATTCAGCATTTAAACCGTGTTTAGAAGACTCAAGAAGCGTCGCTAAAGATCATGAAGTGTTACTGAAATGTTTGTCTAGTATTATAAATTTAAAATTTTAATTAAAACACGTTCAAAAAGTGTCAAATAAGCTTTTACTACCAGTTCAAAACAAAAAAACAAAAAAAGCAGCTTTTACTATTGTATATGATATAAATAAGAAAGATAGCCACACATTCCATTTAATGGAGCAGTCACCTATTTGAAAACAAGTTATGTCTCTAGGTAAAACAAGTATGCAAATTTTGTCAAATCCCTGTTCTTATTATTCCACGTCAAGATGCATTCAGAAATCTGTAATTTGACATGTTCACATCTTGATCACCAATTTCAGCTATTAATTCCTTAATCACTTGTTCTCTGTGGACAGCTAATATTTTGATAAAAAAAAGTTATTTACTAACCTTACACCCTTACGAGCCTTACAGTTTTAGCTAATTGTGACTGAGCATAACTAATTGGAGATTCACTATAAATTTGGCACACAATTTCAATTCATACGAGCATGGCACTAGATCCCCTTGTGCTGTGTTTGGTTGGGGGATTTGAGAAGGGATTTGAGAAATGAAAGGGATTTGGAAAATGAAAGGGAAAAGGTGTGTGAAACTAGGTGAAATATAAGTATATTTTATTCACATTTCACCTTTCTTTTCCATTTTCCTTTCCAAATCCTTTCCTAAATCCCCCAATCAAACACAATATTAGGGAAATTAGGGTGCCATTACCATCGTCACCACATATTGTTAGTAGAAATACAACATACATTCACACATTTTTTTTCAGAAAAAAATCTCCCCAATGCTGTTATCCATAATTTTAAATATTGGTATCGGGATACGTATTGGTATTGGTGACGTGGTCATACATCGATTGATATCGGACAATATATCAGTGAATACAAGTGTTGGAAATCTAAAATCCCGTTACGTAACAGCTGATATTTAAAAACCTGCTGCTACCATAAACACAACTTACTATCACTAAGCAATTATAAATATTGCTTGTGCAGCATGCACACATCACACTCAACATATTCTATCTTAGAAAACACACACATACAAATGAGAAAAAAATCATTTATGCCTACCCAAAAGAACCAAATCTATTCCAAAACTCAAGGTAAACTACTGTGCAAAACACCACACAAACAATCATGAACATTTAATACAGAGTAAACCATTATGCAAATTCTTAGTCACATGATATCAATAAACTAATGAAACTAAAAAATTATCAATAAATGCAAAGCATAATTAAAAATGGGAAAATGGGTTCTACACAAACCTTGGAGACCCGGCATTCATATTCATACTCCGATGAAGTATCCGCCCCCCGCCCGAATCACCCGATTCTATCAATTCCCTCAATCCCAAATTCCCAATTTTCTCCTCCTTCTCATCATCATCATCATCATCATCATCATCATTGGTTGCAACAACAGGCCTAGCTTGAATTCTCTCAAAGTAATTCCCATATATATACTCAGGAGTGTACCCATTTTCATCATCAAACAACATCACATGACCATGCCACTCCCAAACCCTGTAATCGGACCCAGTTTCTTGATGAAACCCAACACATATATGGTGCTCGCCGATCGTGACGGCCTGGCCCGAATTGGGTTTCAGGGTTTCGATTTTCCCAGTGAGAATCGTCCGGATAAGCTCTTTCTCGAGCTTGGATTCTTCTTTTGAGAGCTGGGTTTTGGTAGAGTCGTCTTCGTCGGCGTCTGAGAGATTGGTAGCGGTGTCGAAGAGGAGGTCTTCTAGGGTTTGGTTGAGGAATGATGGTGATGGTGGTGGTGGTGTTGAGTGGTGATTGGGTGGGTGGATTTGGAGTCTGCCCATGAGGGTTTGGAGGAGGAGGTTGTCGAAGTTGGGGATGTTGTTGTTGAATGAATTCATGTTTTTTTTTTTTTTTTTGGGATTGAATTCGAAGGTTTTTGGTTTCGAGATTGATTGAGAGAGTGAGACAGTAAGAGGCTGAGGGGTTTTGGAAGGAGAAATTGTGTAGAGGAATGAGGTACACAGCAGGGGGTTGAGGGTGGTTCCGAAGACTAGGTATCATGAAAATTTTTTCATGAAAATAATCATGAAAGTTTTGTGACCTTTGAATTATACTTAGAATAAAGCACCACACACTAATCAAGGTAATCTAAAGATCATAAATTTTTCATGATCATTTTCATGATAAAATTTTCATTATCCCTAACTTTTCTCTTCCGAGAAGGGTTTATCCTTGGAAGTTGGACCTGATAGGAGGCTTAAATCTTGGCGTGTACAAAGTAACATTTGTATATATTCTTTTAAGCTATGCTATGTCCACTAAATTTTAACTTGTTAACCATTTAAATTTGTATATATCAGTTTTTTTGATTGGTCACTCGGTAATAAGAGTGATAGCTCCGTTCCTGATAGCCACAGTTGATAAGGATGACAATTATAGTTAGCAAAGGTTGTACCAATCATCTGGATAGGAGTCTAAATAGTCAATCGATATGCATAAATTTGAACGATTTAGGCAAAGTCAAATTCGGTGAATGAATCATTTTTCACATTCTTTTTAAGTTGGACTTCTCTTATGTTGCTATCTCAACATGAAAAAACTTGAGGAATTTATGGAGCCCCACCATATGTCTCATTTTAATAATCTAAATTGTTCATTTTTTAGGATTTGTTGAGTAGAATATTTATGCAAAAAATTAAAATAATTGCCCATCAATAGTTATATGTTTGAATGAAATTTATATTACAAACAATAGATGGTTATCTTTAAAATTATATTTGTCGTCTATTTTTTTAAAACAAATACGATTTAAATATATAGCTACCGATATTCAACCATCTTGATTTTTTGCATGAATATTTTATTCAATGAATCTAACAAAATGAATGATTCGGATCATTAAAATCGATTTCAAAATAGACCTATCAAACTTAAATGTTCTCTCAAGTTAAAATGACAACGTGAGAGAAACTAAACCCATTTTATTCTATATTTTCTTTTCAATTATTTTTTTTGACTACGCAACTAATAAATTAAACCCATCCAGTTTGAACCGATTTAACTTCAGTTCTATTTTAAATTTCAAAATTAATTAAATTGTAAGTATATAAAAGATATTTGTTGGCTGTATAATTTGTAAAAGCCAATCGCAGAGTGACACGTGACACCTAAAGGGTAATGGGGAGAATTAATGCAAGTCTCCAATAAAAAACGGACACGTGGAAGTTTGTATTGGTAGTATCGGATCTACGTAGCACTAGATCAGTTGAGAGGTATAAGATGATGTGACCTAATGGTTACTTATAAATTTAAATTCAAAATCAGGAGGGAAGCCTATTTGCAAGAGTGGCGTAGTGGGATTGACTGTGAGAGAACATGTTCATCAATCATAGGAGGACTATTCGATGGTTGGAAGCCCACTTTGACGGTTATCATTGAAGAGTATAAATAGCAGAGAAGGCCTCAGAATAAAAGACCCAGACTCAGATCTAGAAACTAGTTTGTTTACTTCATATTTCTTTCCAGTTTTTTACATTTCCAGTTCTTTACATTTCCAGTACTTCAATTCCTGTACTGTATTTCATTTCCTAGAAGTAGTTTCAAATAGTTTGTTGCTGTGAACCTCTACGAGGCTAGGTTAGATCATTGTAAGTTTTCATTTACTTAATGAAATTCATATTCTGAAATTATTTTTCACTTATTATTATTTACTAATTTTTCCTAAACAAGTCACCAGCAAAAGTCCTCTTCATTGAGACTGAAAGAACTATAACACAATCGTTTGATAATTGGTTGACAATTAATATTCTATAAGGACTAATTGATCCTTGCTAACATGTTTAAATTTACATTATTAATCTTCAAAAGCCAAAAAAGCCAACATATATTTTTGGCATGCCAAGTGGGACTATTAAAAATGGCTAGACGTAGAGCAAGAGGAGAAAATAAACACCTGAAAGAGGGTGTGGAAGGAGAGGTAGAAATATCTAACCCAGAAGACAATGTGATGGATGCACCTATCTCATCAGATCCTCCATAAATGGTCGAACAGACCAGCACTTTAGAATATACAACACATGTCTGTAGACACCCCATTTTTGACCGACCTTAAGACTCAGACGTCACCGATTGAGCGCTTGGTGATGTTGCATATTGTGCTCGTTCGGAAGTCGCGGAGTCTTGGCTGCGAGCCTTGCCTTCGAACTTTCGGACTCTTTCACGCCTTACCTCGGTTTGCGAACCAGGCTCGATTTTCTCTGTTTCTCTTCCCGAAGGGAGGGAGAGGTCCCGCAGATTATCTCTCAGTGGCCGTAGGCTACGTTTCGTGGTCATAGGCCATTTTTGCCCGTTTGGAGTCCGGTTCTCGATTTTTCAGAATCGTTGGCCGTGTGCCTCGGTTCGGTACCGCTTAACCATCTCCGTTTGCTCCGGTTTTTGGCATACTTCTTATTTACTCCCTTTTGAGGGACACTGCGGTCCGAGAGACCAACTTCGTGGTTGGACACCACTTCCGGTGCCTAACAGCCCACTTTCGGGGCCCTGAACTGCGCGTTTCGGCCCCCGAACCCTCATTTTGCATCGGTTTTGGTTCGTATTTGGCAGGGACCTCTGTTTCATTGGTAAGAAGGCCATAGAAGAGTGGGAGGCCAGCAATTGTTCAGACAACCAGTTTTATTCCTCCATCGCCCTCCGTCGCCCGTTTTTCCTCACTTCAAAGCCAATGTTGACCACCATTGGGCCATTTTCTTGAACCCTAAACCCCATATTTGTGATGTACACATCTGGGAGGCCACCGATATTTGGTGGCCGGCAAGTAATTGATGTTGAACCTTTTGAACCCCTTTGAAAAGTGGGTTGTTCTCTCTCATGGTTCACTATTTCCAGTGTTTAACCACAGGGTTGTGTTGTGCACACATCAGAGGCTCTCTTTTTGGGGTGGCCGGCCACTAATGCTTCTTGACCCTTTTGACACCTAGCCAGCCGGCCATGGGAGGTAGCCGGCCGGCCACCTAAACCCTAGATAGCTAGCCGGTCATGATCCTTGCACCCTGTTCCTTACAGTTGTATATTCTGTTTCCCCCCAGATTGTGTATCCGGGGGGGTGCATTTTTGGAGGGAAACTTGGATTGTTTTCCCTCCATTTTCCCCCCTCTTTTGTCTATATAACAGCAGCCCCATCTCTGTTATTAGGGTTACAAAAATTCCCCCCAAGCTCCCTTGTTGTATCTCTCTCTCTCTATACTTCCAAGTACTAAACCTCTCAAGTCCTACACTCATTTCTTCATCAACCCATAGCCTCACCCTTCCATCCTCCATTCCAGCAGCTTGAGGTTGTTCTCCAGAGCCTAGGAGTGCTGCATCTTGGTCCAAAAGGCTGCTAAAGTTTGGTCTTCAAGGGTGAGCACCCTTTTCTCTATTTTTTAGCTTGTTTTTGTATCCTTTCTAAGTCATACTTGCTTGCTGTTTTGGGCTCCGACCCTAACGGGAACTAGGCTTATTTCGAGCTATTTTTCATGTTTGTTTAAGGGTATTTACCTGTTTGAGGTCTCCTTGTTGCACTTGCTTCATTATCTCCCTTGTATGCCATCTTCTTGTGTAGTATTTTTGGCCTATGTATAAACTGTTTTGAGCTCTGTCATGAACTAAAAAGTGGCTTATTTTGAGCCCTTCTTCAACATTGTTGAAGGGCTCATTACTGTTTGAGGCTTTCATTTATCACTTGCCTTTATATCTCTCTTTTGGCTCCATTTTTGCATGATTTGTTAGCCTCTTATGCTTCTGTTTTTGGGCTCTGGTCTGAACTACAAATGACCTTACTTTGACCCCCTATCCATGTTTCATTAAGGGTCTTTCACTGTTTGAGGCATACTTTCTAGACTTTGTGTTATAACTCTCTTTTTGGCCTTATTTTGCATAGCATTTTGAGCATTCTTGTACACTGTTTTGGGTCTGGCCACCAACTGTAAAATGCCATGTTTTGGGTCCCTTTTCAACATTGTTGAAGGGCCCTCTCGTGTTTGAGGCCAGAAGCTGTGACTTGCTTCTTTATCTCACATTTAGGGCCATTTTTGCATGCTAATTTTTCCCTATTTGTGTTTATTGTTTGACCTTGCTTAGAACTATGAATGTGCTTATTTTTGGGCTGTCTTGACTCTGTCTTTACATTCCATGTTCAAATAGCGGATTTTTTGTATAGCTATAGGCCAATACATAGGCCTAGTTATGTATTTCGGTTTCATTTTATGCATCAGGAGCCATGTTTCCATGATTCGGGACTGTTTTGGGTCATATTTCGGTACTGAAATTTTCATGTTTGCATACCATGTTTCATGCCTTGCCATGTCTTGTTAGAGTGGCATTCGTGCCTTAGGTTCTGTCCTCGATTTGCGTGCATGTGTGCACGTATTCCGAGTTGTCTTATTTTCATCTCGTGGCCTCTTATGTGAGTGTGGCTGAGGTCCACTCATATTGGTGTAAGTCCATCGTGCATTGTGTATGCCATTTCATTTCATAGCATTGCGTATGCTAGGTTGTATGTTAGCGCATTGTGTATGCCATGTTACCTCGTGCATCATGTATGCCATTTCATAGCATTGTGTATGTTAGGTTGTATCTTAGTTGCATTTCATGCATATCATGCATATTGCATTGTGCTTGGGATAGGACTTAGCCTGAGCACGGGAAACGAGGTACGTTTCGTACTCCGAGTGACGGAACGTGTCT